ATCCTACACGTCCCACGTCTATGCAAATCATACATTACGTCTACGAAAGCTAGGCATTATCAAAGCTGCAGTATGAATTGGCTGTAATGTAAAAAGTCAATTTCCACTACGGCTAAACTTACACATAATATAATCCAGTGTAGGTACTAGGCTGGCCCAGGCGTGCAAGAGCACAATAACACTTTTGATATTGGCCTTTAAGTAGGGTCTCATGTCAAAAAATTGCAAAAAACTGTATGTTGGTGTGGGATGAGTATAATCGTCGCTGGCAGCGAATGTGTTTATTTTCTTTGATGTATTTACTTCACTGTACCTACAACCTCAGGCCACCTTTTTTCAAGTGTGAACAACCAACAAATTTTAAGCCGGCCCAGAGTCGACCTACTGTAAATTTAGTCTGATTTTGAAGTCGGCTCAGGGCCCGCAATGCCGGACCTCGGCCAACTATGCTTCATATCTTAACGCAAACCAAACCTAGGTCACCAAGGTCGCTTTGATAGCGACCTATTTTGACATCTTATACTAGCCTATAACATTTCATGCAAATCCTGACATAACAACATAGTGGCCATTCGTAGCATAATTATCCTTCCTGGCATAATTTGGACCTCCGTAGCATTAATGCTACGCATAGTTTCACCATCATTTTGAGTCGGCACTGGGCCGATATAATAAGTGTGATTAGGCAGCGCTAATTCACCTTAGTAATCTTGTATCATCAAAAATCATATTTTTAGCTACTGTGTGCTCCTTACAATATCTTACAATGCTTTTACCAGAATCTGGTACTAATAACGCCAGTTTTTAGCATTTTATTACTAAAAACCATGTTCTTAAATGCCTAATAATAGTAGTTATATTGCTCTACCCTGCGTCTGTGTTCAGCAAGAAATTAATGATGGTGATCAAGCTTAATTCTTTTGCCAGAATTCAAACTTAATGAGTCGGTTGCCAGAATTAGTAAATTGGCTCAATCAAGAGTCAGAAATAAATTTGCAGGGTGCAGGACTCTACTACTACAAGACAAGTTGGATGGCTGAAGAAAGAAGGGAAAAGGAAGGCAGCAGAGCATGCATATTATTGAATGAAGGAAAGAATAAATAAATAAATAAATGAAATGTAACAATTAGTAAACAAACAAAAAATATGTACGCAAGTGGAATAAGTGTTAAGGTCCTGAGTGTAATAACTTTTGACTGTAAATAAAATAATGATCCAAAGTGTAATAACTGTTGGCCCTAACTTTAATAATTGTTCTGTTTGTAATAACTTTGTGGTCCTAAATGAAATGTCCTAAGTGTAATAACTATTGAATCTAAATGTAGGTCATAATGGCCCTTAATGTAATAAAGTTCCTGATTTACAAATGATTTATTGATAGATTGATTGGCTGATCGGGTGAGTGGTTCAATGGTTGAATTTTGATTGATTGCTTGATTAATTGATTCATTCAGTAATTATATGATTGATTGGGGGATTGATTGGGTATTAATTGACTGATTGATTAAATGATGTTTATTTGTTTGTGGTTTGTGAGTTTGTTTGATCATGGTCGATACATCAATCTATTCATTGACTAAGGCCCCATAAAAAAAAAAATTAGTTTATCACCCTATCCAATAATAACTGATGAGGAAGGGAAGAAGGTTTTTTTTTGGCTAACCCTGCCCACATTTTACCGATGTTTACAAGTAAATCAATGGTTAGGGACACATATAAAAGCCATAAGAACGGAATCAAATTTATATTTTAAAAAAATATGTTTTTGTTGTTTTTCCTTTTTAAATAATATTTAAAAATAATATTTAAAAATAATATTTAAAAATATTTAAAAATAAAAATGGAATCAAATTTATATTTAAAAAATATGTTTCTGTTGTTTTTGTTTTATGTTGAACATATTTGCAAGAAATCCTGAGCTTTTCAAGTTAAAAAAGATGGAACGTTTGAAATAAAATTATACGTTGATAGAAAAAAAAAAATCTGAATTTCCCCAAAAGTGATGGGGGAGGGGTTATAAACTAATTTTTTTTTTTTATGGTGCCTAATCAATTGATTGGGTGATTGATTTACTGATTGGAAGAGTGATTGTTTGGGTAATAGGTCGAGTAGCTGATTGGGTGATTGATTTATTGGGTGATTAGTTGGATTGGTTGGGTGATTGAATGATCGATTGGATGGGGATTGATTAATCTGAATGTTGATCAATTGATCGATTGTGTGTGCAATTGATTGAACGTTTAAGTGATTGATTGATTGATTGGGTGATTGATTGATTGATTGACCGGTTCACTGGTTGATCGATTGATCAATTCATCAATTGACTGATAGATTGATCATTTTGTTGATTTATCGATCATTAATAATTTGGTGATTGATTGATCAGGGGTTTATTTAAGAGCCGGCGGCCGGCGCATTCGATCGGCTACTACGATGTTTTCGCCGGCTACTTCAATCAATGCTGTACAAAAATTAATACAAAAACCACCAATATAAATAGCGCAACAGGCCTGTAAAGAACCTTTTATTTACCTACACGAAGTTAATTTGCAATAGTATGCACTAATTTCGATGTTCCTTTCTGTTGAAAGTTCGTTAAAATGTCTACCAATTCTCAGACTCCATGTTTGACTTTCATGAACTCGCGGCGTAAACAAAGTTAAAGTTCAATGTTCGGCAGTCGCGCCTGGGTGAGTCCATCAAAGAAGCCACGCCTCCAAATCACATGTTAGCCAATAAGATAATAGAAATTTCTCCTCCACCACAAGCTCAGGTGGTGATGACGATATACATCGCCCAAACTCTTTTTCCGTACATTGGGCTTCCGGGTTTTCTTACCGCGGAGAAGAAAAAAAACAGATCATCATTTTTAAATTAATTTGTGTATGACTATGAACCTTTTATTTTCATTTTATTTTTATTTTACTAGCCCTCTTTGTGATGACATAGATATTTCGGAAATGATAAATAATATTTAAAAAAATCAACACTGGCTCAAATTCGTTTAGACTCGGTGGCAGGCGTAGCAAGGCGAACCAACTATATTGAATGCTGTTTACACTCACAATTTCAATGTTATAGATAGTAGGCCTACAATGATTAAAACGGCAAAGCAAGCCCAAATCGTCTCAATTCACGACATCACATGAGACATTTTTTTCCAATGTGGTATCCATTCCTTTTCGATATCTGCGTAAATTTTAGAACTATTTTTTGCTCTCCTTTAGATGTTTTCTTCAACGCAGATCTAGGGCATAGGCCTAAATGGTGAATCCCCACAAATTTCAACATATTTGTGAAAAGTAAACAACTTCATCATTATAAAAATTGTATTTTCAATTTATTTTGGTGGATTTTATTAAATGTTTATAAACTTAAAACGAATGTATTTCAATTATTGAATCAATATTCTGACCTTAAATTCCGATGTTGAGCTCGAAAAATTCGTAAATTCTAGGCCTATTCTAACCTACTCAGTAAGTATACTAATTAATGAGGTTGTGATCATCACTGCATGTGATTGCAC